CTGGGGATTACATACTATCATGTTGCATCACTATGGTATTATTTTTTGCATCAATGACTCAAATCAGCCATGCTCAGTATGCGGGCACAAGTAGAATTACAGCCAATAGCCACACTTCTACTGATGTACCAGGTATTTCTATACTTTGAAGAACTTGAAGTTCTCTCAAGCAAAGTAACACACATACATAGACAAATTATGCCAAACAAGAACTTTGTTGAAAAAAAGGAAAAAAGCATTCAGCAAATGATATTGGTTTGATATTGTTGTACATCACAACAGGTGGCACACAATTCAGAAGCGTTACCAAAAAATCATCATGGAGAAAAAAATCTGAAATAAACATCAGGAGTAGCAAGAGAGAAGAAATACATGGATGAAAATATCACTATGACAAAGTTAATCATTCGATCTTCTGCTGTCCCATCTCCTTGTTTAGCTCTTCATAGGTGGCGTCTTCGTCCTTGTCGTCTACCTCATCTGTCCTCGAGTTGGGAACCCAAAGGCCTGAGTCAATGCATCTTTTCATGTGAACCTTGGCCTCCTGAAATGTGGGATGAATGACAACCTGAGCAGTAGTTGATAACTTCAGGATACAATATAGTACTATATATAGTAGCTTGTATGTTTAATCATAAACCTCCATTGGCCTGAGAAATCTAGACTAATCTAAAATTTGACAATGACTTCCCAGGCAAAACAGGAATGCAAAACTAAATTTACTCGTAGCATTAGTGGGCACGATATAAAATCCAATCATCGTGCAATTTTGTTATTGACAAAATTGTGATATTTATATTTTCTATTTAAAGACTCACTCAAAATGTTTCAAAGATTAGCAAGTATTCAATATATTGATTATTTGCGAGGGAAAAGGTTGGGCGGAAAAAAAACAATATACATTCGTTACATGGCCAATTTAGGGTTCGGCAAAAAAGCAGTTTATAAATGTTGAGACAGCGACACTATACGAGAACTACAGATTCCAAGAGAGACGATGCGATTATCTAAATAATCGAGTCACCTTTGCATGCCCAGACATGAAGACAACCAGGTTCACCTACCGTTGGGTCCATCTTACTGATCACCGTCTGCAACAGGGCAATGTCCTTCTCGTCAAAACACTTCTGCATCTCCTGCAAACAGGAGCAAATACGCAGCGTGGTCAACAGGAAGGAAACAAAAACAGAGGGCTCACTACGGAAGAGCGCTGCTAGACGAAGCAGAGTAATACCTCAGGCAGCGTCTCGTACACCTCGGCAGGGTCGAGTCCTCCGGGCCCCAGGCGTTTCTGTTTCTCTTCCTCTTCGTACTCCTTCATGGCCCGCTCGATGCGGATCTTGGCCCTGCCGCGCACCCTCTCTTTAAAAGACTCCAGCTCATCGTTGAAGGCGTCCTGATACTGCTGATCTGCAGTCTGAGAGAGAGGCATGTAAAACATGGTCAGCTTTGCCGTCGCGCACTTAAAGGAAACCGAGCACGTATACACACGTAGATGTAAACAAACCTTGATCTTGGCAAAAAACTGCCGAAAGCAGCCTCTGGGATCCACCTTCAGACTCTTAGCCAGCTCTAGGATGAATTGCATCACAATGGTCTGGTGGGCAACCTGCTCCATTAGGGCTTTCTTCTACGTCGGGGGAAAACAACAAGGCATTGACATGTTTATGTTAATCAGTAAACGTTTCCCTGTTCACATGGCTAGATATTTCAATTTTTTTATTCGGTTTTCTTTTTTCAACTGAATTCAATTATTATTCTATGTCTATTTTCTTTTTCACATTGAATTGAATTTTCATTATAGTATTTGTATGTATTCTATGACATGGCATAAACAACTCCATTGCGGCAAAGGTCCTAAAGACTGTTTTTAATAAATCCTGCTGGGACCCGTCAGGGGCCTTGGTACTGGCTGAACAAGCTGTGACGTTAACAGTTTTGGGAAACTGTAATCCATTAAGAATGGATTGTATTTTTTACGTTTTTTTAATGTTTTTTTGTAAAGCACATCAAATTGCTTCTATGTATGTGCTATATAATTAAACATGCTTGCTACTAGAGGATGCCTGTGAATAGTTGATGGTGTTTGAACATTCTACAACCCCAGTATGAACACGTTGTAAGAAAGCGGTCTGAAAATTGTTTGTAGCACTCTGGTCCGATTCTCACCTCTTCCACCTCCAGGTCAATGCACATGATGACCAGGTAGTTGGCGGTTTCTTCACACACCAGATGAGGGTTGTCCGATAGGTACTTCTGGCTGTCGTCCCAGCGCTTCAACATACCTGGCAACACAGACCACATTTAGCGACCATGGCCATGACAACCGCTCTCAAAAAAAGAATGTGGCAATAGTGAAATGTCTCACCAAAGTGCTTGATCTGTTTCTCATACTTCTCTACAAAGGTCTTGTGTTTCTGCTCTTTTTGTTCTTCGGTCTCCTCCTTTACGTCAGGCTTAATGTTCATAATGCTCTAAGAAGGGAAACAGAGAAAGAGAGAAAAGAGATGTGTTTGAATATGAAGGAGGTAAGTCAAGTGGCGTCAGCAAATAATACAATACTCACATACTATACTCACTTTGCTGAAGCCCTCTTTGGACAGTGTGTCCACGTTCCATGGCATCTTCTTCTCCTCCCGTCGGTGGTCCTCTAGTTTCTTCTCCCAATCTCGCTCCTCTTTCTTCAGTTTCTTCTCCTCTGCCTGTGCCTTACTGAGCTCTGCTTTGGCGTCGTCCGTCGCTGAAGTGGACAGATTCTTTGTCTTTTTTTGAGCTTCAGTCAACTTGCGTCTGGCTTCAGCCAGCCCCTTCTCCAGGTCCTCACCAGCTTTAATAAACTGGTCCATTCGTTCCACACGCGCCTAGCAGTTGATGGGAATAGCGGGGCAAATTGAATCTCATTTGTAATACCTTCCAAAGCTAAATGATATAATAAACGTTATGTTATCGTAACAGAAACACATTCAGATATGCAGTGGACTACACACACACACACACACACACACACACACACACACACACACACACACAGTGACTATACCATCAAAGCTAATAAGCTAATAACGCGTTAGCAAAATAAATAACATTACAGAGACCAACTAACGACACTGGCAATCAAGTGCATTATTATTCTCATCGACTTAACGGCACCTCATGTCTCCATTTGAAAAGGCTGGGGGTGTCGATGTTAGGATGAGTGTCATCTTCATCATCCGAAACCTCGATGTGGTCCCACACGCTGTAGTCTATCCTACTTGTCATTCTAGCTATCCTCACTTAGCTAACTTGCTGCTGGCTAAATTCCTCGCTTGCTAGCAGACGCACGTTCAACCCACAACAAATGCGTGTCTACTGAAGGTTAAAGTGAAGTTTAACTAGTTATCTGGCTGCAATATTCGTCTAATTTGGAGTAATTCGCCAGCTTGTGTCATATATATTTACTTTCGCCGAACAACAACAGCGGCGAAAACTAGTATCTCGAGCTACCCGAGGAAACCCGGAGTGCTTCCGGTCTGACGTCGAAAACGTATCTACGTAAATACGTAATTGAAAAACGTACAGATATGGGCGGGGCATATTGTGTGTATTATGTGGTGTTTTGTTTTGACGGTCATAATCATTGGTAATGAGAAAAGCAACTGGAAAAGCACTGTTTACATTTGTCATTTTATTAGTTTTTTTACATGTAAAAAAAGACATCATCAACAATTGAGATTTTCAAAATATAGTTAATGGATAGCTATTCACATCTTGCTTTCTATAGTTTCTCCCAATGCAAGTAAACTGCATACCTACAAAACTATGTAAACACATCAAAGTATATGTCACGTCGCGATAAGAAATATCTCTAAAACCTATAACAAGACCAGAAGTCCTTTCCTGTACGGTGGTATGGATGACATTGATAATGCTCACAGACCTGAAACAAAAGAGTGCAACTTAAATTAGAAATAGGCATTATCCTAAGTGTGTCCATTGTCTTGCTAATATCCAACTTGGAACCTGGGAATTTGATAAAAACACTTGCTTCTACAAGTGGTGCTATCTTTATCTTCTGGATGGAGACATTTAAATATGCTCCTTCCACTGTGTCCTACCTTCTGACTTAGTCTTGACGATAAACTGCTTGCTCTTCTTGCCCATTGTATTAGAGGCAGTGCATGTGTAGGTTCCTGGAAGGAGGTATGAGGAGATGAGAACGGGCGTGTCTTCCATCTTTTCTTGGGGATCTGAAGACTGCCAGCTGTACAAAGGAGCAGGGCTTCCTGTTGCCGTGCAGTTTAATGTCATTTCACTCCCCGATCCCATGTCCACTGTCTCAGCATCAGGGCTGAGAAACGATGGGGGGTCTGAGGACACAAGCAGGATAGCAAAAGGGGTGCACACCTCAAATAAATATATGCAAATATGCACTTGTACTTGTTTGGTTGCGCCGAGTCAATGGACTTACAGTGCACGGACACATTGAGAGGCTCTGATGTCACAGACGGAGACGGCTGAGGTCCCTCCGGCCCCATATCCAGCTGAGCCACACACCGGTACTGGGAGCCGTCGTCCGCTTGGGTCGGGGTGATCAGAAGAATGGACGATACTTGCACAGGGGTAACGGGGGTCAGGTCAGAGAACGAGTGGTTGTACACTTCTGCATTCCCCCGGTACCATTTCAGGGTGAGATATTGAACGGGCGCAATGTTCTGGACATCGCAGAGAAGTTGGTATTCAGTCCCCGCCACCATGGGCCCGGTGTGATTCGCCGAGCTTATGGTGACGCTGTCCGGTGTCTCTGTAGAACATTAGCCTGTATGGTTTCTATTCATATGAAGCAGTCAATTTGTTAACATTACTGTAAAGCAGAATTATGAACTATTGCATAGTGAGTTTACTGCAGCTGCTCTCTACCTCTGACTTGAGCTAAGACAAAAGGCTAGCTTTTTTATTTAACCTTTATTTAAACAGGTAGACCGATTGAGAACAAATTCTCATTTGCAACGGTGACCTTGAGAGAAGCCTGGGATCAAAGCCAGGACATCATACATACAGAGCATGCACTCTACCACTGAGATACCAACTCCTCCAATAGGAACCCAGGACATCATACATACAGAGCATGCACTCTACCACTGAGATACCAACTCCTCCAATAGGAACCCAGGACATCATACATACAGAGCATGTACTCTACCACTGAGATACCAACTCCTCCAATAGGAACCCAGGACATCATACATACAGAGCATGCACTCTACCACTGAGATACCAACTCCTCCAATAGGAACCCAGGACATCATACATACAGAGCATGTACTCTACCACTGAGATACCAACTCCTCCAATAGGAACCCAGGACATCATACATACAGAGCATGCACTCTACCACTGAGATACCAACTCCTCCAATAGGAACCCAGGACATCATACATACAGAGCATGCACTCTACCACTGAGATACCAACTCCTCCGTTTATTATTGTCAGGGTCCACTCACTGTAAAGAACAAGATTGAGTTTCTCCTCACACTGTCTGGGCGCAGTGAAGAAGACTCCGTAGCAGATGGGCTCCTCGATCCAGTCAATAAGACTGTCCACCTTCCATTGGACAGCGCGGTCCTGTTGGGAATTTGCTGCCCCAATGGCTGAATCCCAGCCCAGGACGCGCACGGGGCGAGAGGCCTCACAGCTGACCGACACGGGTTCCCCAAAACCCACCACCACCCTGGACGGTTTGAGCTCCAGAGAGCATTCCTCACCTAACACTGAGACATGACATCATCATCGGGATTTTCCTGGGGATTTTTAAGATTTGGATGTATACACACAAGTCACACAAGTCAGAAATGCCCACATGAAGCAGTCCCGCTGTTAGTTGAAGGCGTGATAGGTGTTCTTATATTCGTGTCATTAGCATCATCATTGTCACGATACCTTAAACCATTATCGCCATAATAATATTAGGAAATTGTACTTTCCTACTACTGAGATGTCCACAACATTATTGTGTTAAAATTAATAACTCTTGCAAAATGAAACAGAACAATACTTGCTGTGATTTGACAGTTTGTTTAACCGGGAAAATACAATTCGGTGGGATGCTAGTATAATTAATGGTACAAATTGTAGATACTAATTTGCCTGTGTGTATGTTCAATTTCAAGGGGTACAGCATAGCCAAATAAATATATGTGCAAGAAAACACTCACCAGAATTCAATGCTACATGTACATACAAGTATCTTTCAGAAAGACATTCAATACATAATTTAGGACCAAATTAAATGGCACAAACAAAACTCCTTTCAAATATGTATAGGCTACTCCCCGGTTAAAAGGTGGCCTGAACTGCAGACTTCCCGGAACATTCCAACCCACTGAGAGCCCAGCAAATTACATGAATAATAAAACGTGTTGCAGCGCTTCATCTTACCAGTACAGAGCATGCAGAGTTTTAGGATCCACTTTACCAAGTAGTTTTCCATGTTTTTGCAGACTTTACCGATGTCCACCAGAGTTGGAGTTGGAGAAAGGCGGTTGGAATTCCGACTTGGTCCTCCTTGGCAACTCCAGCATGAACTGTGATTGCAAACAAAAGCCCTCCCTCACCGAACGAGGGCTCTCATCCGGTCGTCTGAGTGCAGGGCCCGAGGGGGAATAAAGGGGGCTAGGGGAGTTAGATCGGCATCGAGGCCCAGCCATCTCAATGGCAATTCTTTAGGCCTACATCCCACAAGAAAAAAATATTTAGTCATGTAATTGTTTGGATTTGTCTTTGCGTGTTCGATGATAGCTGCTGCATCTGAATTAAAAATATATATCTTAGTCAGTAATTAATTACTATTCCGTTAAAATCTTAATCTACCAATTCATTCTAATATTTCTCTGTCGTCATTGTGAAAGAAATACCACCACATGATAATCATTCCTTTTCTGATTACAGCCACATGCTTATGGGTCAATACGTTTTCTCAGGACCGCATGCCTCAGTTTCAGTTTCTGTTCCTTTTTAATCTGAAATAAATCCCCGCTGACCTTAGCTTTAACTTTCTCTATGTGTAACACTTTGTCCCAAAAACTCTGTCCCATTCAGGTCGTCCCATGCAGATTGTTTCAACTCATTTCGGCAGGCATGTTTCACTTCCAGACTCCCACTGGCTGCAGGGCGATTGCATAGTCAAGACACGGCAGGTTGAAATAGTTGGACTGGAGTTTGCTCACATCTAGTGTGCCAGGCCTCACGCTGTCTTTAGAATGCGTCACCGCTGGATCAGAGCATTGGCTCTGGTGGGCCGCCAGAAACATTGCTCACTAATTTGATGCTTACTGGGTGTATTTGTGGATGTTCACACGACCACGTACGTGCACTGTTTTGCGTTGGCTACAGTGGCTCAAAATGCTCACGTTGGTATTTTGTTATATAAATCTAAAATAAAAAAATATATAAATATTTATAAATATAGTTGCAGTATATATATACAGTACATTGGCCCAGGGCTAATTGTACTGGCAAGTTGCCTTAATCAGTCTACACGGCAGCCAGGTTGTTATGGCAACAGTCCGACTTCACACACAAGTGTTTCTTGGCAAGTCCGAAATCCCCTTCAACAGAGGCAGGAACCAAACGACACACACTTCATTCTGAAAAAGCAAATAGTTGCAGTTTATAGGCTACCTTGGGCCGGCATAACAGATGGGGTTTCATGCTTCACTTTACGTTGATTTTGGTTTACACTTTTTATGGTTGACAGTGTGCAAGATAGTATACATTGAACTGGATTGAGTTTAAAAACGGAGTTTAGAACAGTGCTTGAATCTTACACAAGACTAGCCGCGACAATGTGGAAAGAACAAAATGTTGGAACAGAAGTGCACAAAAGGAAACATTGACACAAATTCCCACGGTCATATAAACATAAACTGCTTTTTAAAGTATGGACTTGTTGTAAGTAACTGTTTAAAAGTACACAGAACATAAAGTTAAGTGACAAAATAAAATGGATAATGTATACAGCATTAGCTACTCATCAACAGAAAGCATTATACACACAAATCTGAAATAGTCAATTTGAGATCTTTTCATTTTATTCATTTAGGTAATTTAAAAATTAGGAATGTTTTACCAAACAAATTAATCATACATTAGATAATCTCGAAAACAAATTGTTATATAATTGTTATATAATAACAATAAGAACTGGGAAAGACACAACCGAAAGCCAGTGGGTGGAGGAGACCAACCGAAAGCACATTTGGAGGATTGAAGCTATCTTTTATGATGATTAAATAAACAGACGCCCGTATCCACAATGTCCAACTGACCAGGATGTTGAGAAGAGGTTCTCCTGGTCTGCTTAGAAGAGGGAGTTGGGGCCTGCTTTTACTTTCAGGACGACACAGCCGATGCAAATAACCAGAGCCAGGATCAGCCCAGATAGTTTGATGATCCAGTGTATTTTGCTGTGTGCTGTGGGAAAAGTGTGTGTTTAATGAATATTTCAACAGCTCACATTCCCAGCACCTGCCCCAGCAAACAGCACAGTTTATTTGGCTGACCGTAGAGCAGAGCTGTGCTCGAGACCACCTAAAGCGAGACCGAGACGAGACCGAGACCGAAGGGGGCCGAGACCGAGACGAGACCAAGACCGAAGGGGGCCGAGACCGGTCTCGAGTACTACAGCTCTACCGTAGAGCAAAGACAAACATCACCTTGTACATCATCAAATATATTTTCCATCTAAATAGTTTGTGTTGGGAGTTTCTGTGACTGCACAATGAACTCAGAAAATATGTAACTATATGAGGTATTAGTGTAGGCAGTTTAGGAAGTAATAATAAGAGAATAGAAGCCATATTGGAAACTAAGACTATACCCTATTTACAAAAATAATCCCACTACCTTTCTGTTGAAAATTCACAATAAACATCTTGCTGTTTTGCCCTATTAGATTTGTGGCAATGCAGGTGTATTTTCCTGGAAGCTCAGAAGACGGGATGAGAAGTGATTGATTCTGTGGATAATTTGGGATGTGAGGTGAAGACATCCAGCTGTAATGAGGAGTAGGCCTTCCAGTAGCTACACAGTTTAAGGAGATGTTTTCCCCCATTCTGACGTCCAGGATCTCTGCTTCAGGGCTGAGGAAGGTTGGGGGGTCTGCAAATGGAGAGAATTACAAGAAACATGTCTGCTTGCACTGTATAATATTAACTGTCGTAAACTCGCCCAGCACCGCCAGAGGAGGACTGGTGATCCCTCAGAGCCTGGTTCCTCCCTAGGTTTCTTCTTAAATCTGTCCTTCAGGGAGTTTTTCCTAGCCGCCGTGTATCAACTTGTTCGACTTGTTTCTTGTTCAACTTGTTGATGGGTGCTCTGTCGGATTCAGGCTGGGTGTTTGTAAAGTACTCTGTGACAACTTTGTTGTAAAAAGGGCTGTATAAATAAATTTGATTGATTGATCAACTCTAATTGTTCCCACAATATTTCCTGTTTTTGTGACAATAAAATGGCAAGATGAAAAACAACAGAAGATGCTGAGATGAAGCCAGGCTGTGACTGTGATTTGGACTTAGGAGAGGAAAACATTTGGGATATGGGTTTTGAAAGTCCTGTGGACTGTAAAACTGTAGGTTATTATGGAATAATTAAGTACCAATCATATGAGTTATATGAACAGATGTCAGAAACTCACAGTGCACAGTTATGTTGAGAGGTTCTGAAGTCATTGTGGGAGGAGGTTGTGGTCCTTCTGGGCCCAGGTCCAGTTCTGCCTCACATCTGTAGTGAGCTCCATCATCATCTCTACTGGGGGTGATGGTGAGGTTCTGGAACACATCACCTGGTGTCTTTTTACTGAGGTGACTGTAAGTTATATTTAATATGGATTCATTCCCTTTGTACCACTTGACAACCAGGTTCTGTAGAGGAGCAACGTTCTTGATGTCACACAGCAGATTGTTCTCTGTCCCCTCCACCATCGGACCAGAGTGGTTAAGAGGAGAGATGGACACGCTGTCTGGAGACTCTGTAGAAGAAGAAGGTTTAGAACTGAATAAAGAACCTGCTATATTGCTGAATAGAAAAAAAT